GATGAGCCTGAAAAGTTGGCATTCGGAATGTGGACCACATAGCTTCTCTTCTGAAATCACAGCTTCATTGCCTCCCACCCATTTCACTCATCCTTGGGGCACTGAACTGTTTGTCTACACTCTGACCACACATGGCTATTGGCACTCTCCCAGCCCATCTGTCTCCCACTGTAAGCCTGAGTCCAGGTACTGTCATCTTCACTTCTGACCAGCTGGATCTGAGTCCCCTCACACTGCGTACTGGATGTCAGTTCACAGCCGCAGGTCAGCTCAATATCTGCAGACCATAGCGCCCAAAATAGAACCATGTTTCTGCCATCAACTTGAGTCCTTGACTTTCATCAAAGCCCCTCTGCTTTTTGGTGACCCTTCTATTTGTCCCTTTTGGAGTCCCCGCTGTACTGCAGAACAACCACCACCCAACAGAAATATCATGTAAGCCACATGTAAAAACTTAAATTTTCTGGTAGCAACATTAAAAAGTTAAAAAAAAAAAAGTAGGCAATATTAATTTTGGTACTGTCTTTCATTTAACCCAACATATCCAAAACCATTAGCTTTATAGCATAGTCAATACAAAAGTCATTAACAATCTATTTTACATCCTTCTCTTTTAAAAGCTAAGGCAGTCTAGATCCCTGCATTTTAGTTCACACTTGCAGAACATCTGCCCCACTTGGAATCAGCCACACTCAAGTGCTCAGTAGCCATGTGTGGCTTGTCACGATTGTTTTGCATTAAACAGGCTTCAAACTTTCCTGCTGCCATCCAGCCATACCCCTAACCTCCTGAGACTCAGGAAGACCCACTAACCACTTTCCGTGTAGAATCTGAGTTCATTTTCAAGTCACTTCAACATATCTGCCTGTATCTGTCTCTTTTCCAAAAGCCTCTCTCATCCCTTTCTTCTTTTCTTGAGGAGAGAAGCTAAGACTGGTTCAATCCCCTCTTCTGTGAGTCCTTGTTCGGCCACCCGTCTTCTCGTTTCAAAGACCATCACCCATCTGTTTTCACTACAGTCACAGCTTTCCCCTCACCCTGTAGGTTGAGTAGCTTCTACTCCACAGGTGGCCATTTTTCTTGTTTCCCTGAATTTCCGTTTCCCTAGCCCCTAACTACTCTACCCCATTACTGCCGGCACGGGCCCCCATTTGCAGTACCACACGCAGTACGTGCACAGAGTCAAGTGGCCCACTAGACTTTCCTAGTCTTCACTTGCCTTGCGTTTGCAACATGCTCCTTGGAATGTTGGGGAGCTTCTGTCTTCATAGATGCTGAAATCTACACTACTGTGTCTACCTCTTCCAGTCCCTGGGCTCTTATAGCTACACTTCATATGTGCCCCTTAGCCTCCAGCTTCACACAGCTTCCCTCCACTCTCAGGGCTTCAACCATTGTGTTCCATTACGGATGTACCCAAGTGTCAACACTTTATCCTGTTTATCACGTTTCAGGGCTGCTTGTCTAAAAAGTTTCCAACTCCCTGCTGTGCATAGACACCTGAATTGCCCTACATAGGTGACATGAAACGCCATTTCAACTTGAGACCACTGTGACAGAACCTAAAAGAAGCATTTAACTTCTAAGCTTAAAAATTAGCCGTGTGTACATTGTCATACTTTTCTGCGATTCCTGTCTCACATCATGCCCTAGGCTGTGGCTCTACCTCCAGGTCCTATGTCAAAATCTAGGGGTTTGAAAACAAACATCTTCACCCCCAAATCACCACAATATTCCTTTTTTTATCAGCGATGCTAACTTATCATCCGTAGCCCCTCCCTTCTCTCACTAAGCCCCCACTCTTGTTAACTAACCCTGCATAATGTTTCACTTTATCCACCCCATGCCCTTAACAAACTGTGCCCCAAATTTAAAGCACCCCCACTTCTCCCTTCACCCACCCTAAGACTAGAACAACCTCAGAATCTACTTGTAACTTGTACAGATAGACCGGCATTGAGTTCAAGTGACTGTCCAGTCATCCCAGCTAGACCTTCACACCCTTAAAATAGAGAAAGAACATCTTGTAATCGCTTGATCCCTATGCTTATTACACAAATCAGTAACCAACAAACTATTGGTAAGGACTTGAGTTTACTGAAACAAAAGCAATCCAGTTAAATAGCTAGTTGTGACATCAGTTTAAAATATAATCCTATGGCCCAAAATTGATTTTGCATGGATTGAGGGGGCCATTTGATAGAAAATGGGGAAAAGCAACTAACGCATTAAATTTAAGGGTTGGCTCTACCTTTTTTACATACTGAGAAGACATGTTCAACTTGATATACTGCCTATATAATGTTTTTTTTTTTTTTTTTTTTTTTTTTTTTTTGGTAAGGCTCAAATGAAACAATACATGGAAACACTCTGAACATTTTAGAGTATCCGCAAGGATAATACTGACACAAAGAACTCAGAATCCACAGCCCACCCTTTACCTGACTTCCTCTGTTGATGTCCTAAATGGAAGCTTCTCATAACCTTGAGTTGATGGGCAGACTTGCTGGCTGATGCCTTCATTTAACACATGGGCTCAGTCAACCTCTCCATGCACAGATTCTTCCATGATTGCCCCAGACTGGGTACCAGCCACTCACAGCTTCTCTAAGGGGACCTGTATTGACAGGTGTTCAGTGACTCATTCAGTAGGGATTCAAGTGGGAGTGGCCAGGCCTATCTCTTTCTAGTCTGAAAACTACTTGCAGAGTTTCCCATATTCCTTCACAAGTCACAGGGCTGGGTGTAAACCACCTTTCCCAGGACTCAAGAGTATTCCAGGAAAACCTAGACTTCCTTACAAAGTGTGCCTGCACATGAGGTGGTGCCGTCCCTAAACAGAATAGATTCTCATTTGTATGTATTTGTAACTGTGAGATCGTTCCCTATTCTCATACCTCATGTATCACCATGGTCCCATCTCCCAGTACAAAGCCAGGAGTGTTCAGCTCTTCCTTGTTGGGGACTAACGCAATGAAGAGACCTGATGGATGCTCCCCACACTCTAAGGCCTTCAGCCTGATGGTCTAGACCCCTGCCAAACTTGAGCTTAATGCCCCTGGGCCTGTCAAGAGGAGCCAGACCAAGGGAGATCTTGCCTTCTCTCCCTCTGTCAGCTGCTCTCGGGAGCTGCAGGAGCTCACAGATCATTTCTTCCCAAAGCTAAAGATATTATACCTTGGTACTCTTCTAAAGGGAAAATTATTTGGTTGGATTGTGTGAATTTCATGGCTAAGGAAAATTAAATCTTCCCATGCAGCTCTTAGTTCTGGCATCTTGACATTAAAAAAAAAAAAAAAAAAAAAAAAGGAAGAAGAAGAAGAAAATGGTGACTAGACTTTGGGGACAAAAAGTGTGATGGCTGATTGAAGCAGAAAGAGGCTTTAGCACAATGGTGACTTCTGGAACCAACCTGTGGCCCCGGCGCTCTTTTTAAAAGGGAAATCAAAACCTCTGTTTAATTCCCAAGCTTGCTTGTGAGCTTTTCTTTCTCTACTTCTTGTATCAGATAGGTGTCACAAGAGAAAGGGACTCATGCTTTTTTTCAGACAAATGGTTGTCTGCTGGTAAGTTTGATTTGAAGCCATTGAGGGGCCCTAGTGATGGTGCAAAGCAATTGGTGGGGAGGACATTTTCTTCAGCCTCACACTGTTGGGGGCCCCTGAGGCCCTGAGAAAGAGCCTCTTGCCTTGCAGCCCCTCTGAGACAAATCTGCTGGGAAGAGGGTTTGGCACATTTCTGTACACTGTTCCCACATCTCCTCATTGGCCTCTGATCATCAACAGAAGTGGCGTGCTACTCTTCCAGTCCATCTCTAACATACACAACTCAAGATGCCGAAACGCTGCCACACATGGCAAGTTCCACGCCAGAAACTCTGTAGCCTGCACGGAAATGCTTTAAAATGTCTAAAATGACCTTCATGCTGTGTATGCATATCATATGTGAAACATAAATGGGTTTTATGTGTAGACATGAGGGTCATGGTTCCAGAGGTAGAGTCTGTGGCCATCATGATGGGGAGCAAGGCAGCAGGCAGGCGTGGTTCTGGAGCAGCAGCTGAAAACTTAGCGTTTCTGTCTACAGGCAGGAGGCAGGGAGGGAGACACTGGGAATGGCATGGGCTTTTGAACATCAAAGCACCCCCTCCAACAAGGCCACACCTCCTAATCCTTCCCAAACATCCCACCAACTGGGACCCCAGGATTCAAACATATGAGCATATGATGACCTTTCTCACTCAAACCACAACAAGGAGTTTGTGAGAGTTTAATTCAAATGTCAGCTGGGGCTGTCAGGACAGCCCTATGATAATAATTATTATGATAAAATAAAAACTTCAAGAGGTTTGAGATAGCTCAGTGGTTAGGTCAAATGCCTCACCCACATGCACGAGGCCCTGGGTGCAATCCCTAGCACATGGATGACAACTTCAGGTTTGTCCCACAGCGATGTGCCAGGTGCAAATGGCATTGGCTGAGGTCACATTGACTTTCCTTCCAAAGGCATCACCTTCCTTCCCAAGCTCCATTCCCTTGCTGCCTGTCCCCAGTGGCCAGGGCACTTAAGCCGCTTATGCATCTGTAGGCCACCGTTGAGACCAACTATTGACAACAGGGCATCCAGTTATCTGTGAAATCAGTGTGATGAGAGGGAAGAACAGGCCCTCCCCAGGGTCCTCTGTGCTTTCAAGTCTGTTTCAAAGTCACAAAATCCCAGGCACTATGGGTAGCAACGCCCACAGAGACTCAACCATAGCGATAAGCTTGCTCCCTAGAGTCATGGCTGTGAATGTGTGAACGCTCCTTAGCATTGGGGACTTGTCCAAACCAAAATGGAGTATCAGTCGGTGTCCCTGATGTCACCATCCCTCTACTCATTGCTCTCTAGAAATCTAAATGCCGGGTGGGAGGCTGCAACCCCAGCAGCAGCAGACTAGCCCTCAGCTTGCCTGGGCTCTGCTGGAGTTGAGTGGTATGTGTCTGTGTTCCCTTCCACAGCTATTGACCTTCTGTACTGGCGGGACATCAAGCAGACGGGGATTGTGTTCGGGAGCTTCCTGCTGCTACTCTTCTCCCTGACCCAGTTCAGCGTTGTGAGCGTTGTTGCCTACTTGGCCCTGGCCGCCCTCTCAGCCACCATCAGCTTCCGCATCTACAAGTCTGTTCTACAAGCTGTGCAGAAGACAGATGAGGGTCACCCTTTCAAGTGAGTGTCCCAGGTTGACCAGCCCTCACCCTGCCTCTCTGGGCTCTCTCTCTGCCTCGTTGCTGCTCATAGGTGTTCTGGAACATGTTTCCCTGGAACTCCAGGAAACTTCTAGAGTTCTCTCCTGAACCCCTAAGGTTGCTTGTGGGTTTCTGTAACAAACTCATTCTTATAGCAACACTACTGGGTTACAAAAGTAATTACAACCCATTATCTATGTGTAATGCTTTAAAACTTTTTTTTTTTAGATTTACTTATTTTATTTTGTGTGTGTGAAATGGTTTGCATGCTTATATGTGCACCACGTGGGTGCCTGTTGGGTCCTCTGGAACTAGGGTTATGGAAGGTTGTGGCCACCATGTGGGTGCTGGGAATTGAACCCAGGTTCTCTGAAAGAACAATGCTTAACCTCTTAACCTCTGAGTTATCTCTCTGGTCGCACGTCATCATTTTTGTTTTTCCATTTAAAGAGAATTTCAACAATTACTTAATCCAACCACCTCCATAAGGAAGGCAGGGCAGGCACTAAAATCCCTGTTTACAGATGCAAACACCGAGATTCTAAGAAGTGACACATGCAAGATCAGGTGGCCAGTTAGTACTGTAGAATGGCAGGTGTTGGGGTTTTATTTAGAGGCCCAACCTTCTGAGGGGTGCAAGCACTCTCACCAAATGCTACCCTGCAGCCATATGCTGGAAAATGGGTTAGAATGAATATTGCAAAGGAGGAAAGTTTTGGCTTTATCTGTTTAATATGTTTTATTTTAATTGTGTATGCATGTGTGTGGACATATATGTACACACATATACACACAAGCATGCAGAGGCCAGAGGCATGGATTCCCTGGAGTGGAGTTACAGTTGGTTATGGGTGCTAGGAATTGAACTCTGATCCCCAGGCACAGCAGTAAAGTGTTCTTAACTGCTGAGCCATCTCTTTAGCCTCCCCTCCCCACCCCTTCTAGAGCAATCTATGAACTGTGTAGACATACAGAGAATGGCAGAGAGCAGTGATAGCCCAGCCAGTGGCATCTAACCAACTCTATCATAGTAAATCACTCCCAATTTCAGATGGTAAGCCTGGTTGCCTACAGAATTCAGTGTGCATGTCACACACACCTTCTAACTGGCCCTGCACTCTGCTACATGTGTCCTCATTTCATGTAATTGAGGGGCAGTGCTGAGTGAGACAGGAAGATGATGCCACAGGGTGGCTCTGGGTCAATCTCCAGAGTTCGCCAGTGCCACCTCAGCATGTACCCTTACTGTGCCTCACCTAGAGGACTGAATGTAGGGGCTGCCTGTCAGAACTTCCCTCTCAGCACCTTGGTCCTGACCCCAGTGCAAACACATGGCAGTATACACACTCGTACCTGGTGGCTTTCTGATGCTGAGTTATCGGGCCATCTTGGCTGTAGCTTGATTTCACGTGTTCCCATCCCAACGGGTGAGAGAGTGCAGAAGTGGCTTGTCTTTGTTTCTAGCAAGACATACACAACCCAGGTCTGAGTGACCCTGGCATATGGACAAAGTCTTCATCTTTTCCTTCTCATCTGCCCCAGCCTCTGTCCTTAGCATTCCAGGATTCTTCTGTATCCATTGTTCTAGAACTTCATTGTCTCTAGAGCTTCCATGTTCACCCCCAAGGCTGAAATATGGGGCACTTAAGTCCCATTTGACTTCTTTCTTCTGATACCCAGTTACAGGAACAATAGTCTAAAGCTATCCACAGTTGGACTATTGTTCTTTAGGAGGCAAATTTAAAGCTTAAAACTCCTTCAGTCTAATCACTTGTATCAGCAAAGCAACCCCTGACTCAGTGTATTTTTAATCACAACACACTATCTGGACAAGTCAGTATGTACGTTTTCTGAGGGGAGAAAAGCCATAACATTTAAATGTAAATTGCCAAAATTAGTTTAGGTTGTTATCACCATGTACCATAATTCATTGAAGTAAATGATTTAAAAAATGCATCTCTGCCAGTTGTGCAAAATCTGTAATCAGAGTGCCCTGTGGTTGAATTATAGACCACTGTCTTGTTTGTTGAATCCATACAAGGCATGAAGATAGTGAAAGCACTCTTTGGGACTCCAATAAAGAGGGTTTAAGGGTTCTTAAAAGCACCAGTCTCATTCATAAAGGTTCTGCCCTTTTGAATAATCACCTTCTAAAGTATCTGACTGATAAGGCTAACATTAAGAGAGGGTATTTCAACATGGATCTCTAGAGGAATACAGCCTTTAGTCTGTAACACTCCCAACAACTCAAGACAAAACCTACATGGCTCTTCATCTCTGTTCATCTTATGCCTTTAAGAACTCCAGGCTAGGCAGGAAGTCCACAGCTGCCTTCAGATGGGGGTGGCACCAGAGCTCAGTGGAGGAGTGTGGCCAACCAGAAAAAGCTTATGTATTTTATAAAATATATTCTATATTTTATTTTATTTAACATTCATGAGTTAAATCTAACTACATGAACAAATGAGGGGGGAAAAAATCTCATTACTAAGAACATCTTTTGCCTGGCATTGGTGGTGCATGCCTTTACTTCCAGCACTCGGGAGGCAGAGGCGGGCAGACCTCTGTGAGTTTGAGGCCAGCCTGGTCTACAGAGCTAGTTCCAGGAAAGGTTCCAAAGCAATACGGATAAGCCCTGTCTTGAAAAAAATAAATAACATCTTTCACTAGGACTGACGAGTTTAATATGGTCTAGGCCACCGAAGTTACCATTGCTCTCTAGAGAAACCGCGGTCAGTTCCAGACTTAAAACAGGAATTCTTAGAGTTTGTCAAGGAACAATTTGGCAGCTAGGGTTTTCAGATGCTCCGGAATCTAAGAAACACACTCATCCCTTTGTCCTCATGTGTGGAGAAATCAGTAATGGCGTCCACTGCTTATCAGTATTTCTTGGTCCTTCCTGGTTTCTGTGAATTATGAGCTCACTCTTTAATGCTGTGTTTTGTGTATAGAGTCACAAATCCCCCAGTCAGGACTTCTGCACTCCCAGTGTTTGGGAAATGAGTGTGCATGGTGTCCCACAGCCAACAGCTGCGTGGAGGTGACCCAGCCATGAGCCTCCCAATGTGACAAGCACTTTCTTGGCCTTGTTATGCATCAGCCGGTGTTCAACCCTCTAAAGGCATTCCCCTGGGATGGTTTGTTTACAGGGCCTACCTGGAGCTGGAGATCACCCTGTCCCAGGAGCAGATCCAGAAGTACACTGACTGCCTGCAGCTGTACGTGAACAGCACGCTCAAAGAGCTACGGAGGCTTTTCCTTGTCCAGGACCTGGTGGATTCCTTAAAAGTATGACTGCTTCTGTTCCTTGCCTTATAGTCTTAGAAGTTCTCCCCAAAGGAAGAATACAATAGGCAGCTATAATTCAGAGGCTACAAAGCAATCGCTGATTAGTCTAGAATCTGAGAGCCTCCGGTTGTGTCCAAGCTGGTCCCCTCATTTCAAAGATGACAAAACTGTGGCTTGGAGACATTTAGATGCTTATTGGGGTTGCACCATTAGGATCAGCCCCAGGTCACACAGTTCTAGCCATGTTACACAGGAGGACATAGATTCTTAAACCACAACCTCAACCCATCTCCTAATTGACCAATTTTAGGGATGTGAAGAACATGTGTACTCTGGAGGGTGCTAGGATGTTGGTAGTATGTCCTCAAGAACTCCTCAGGTTGAGTATCTGGAGGGAAGACCCATGCCAAGAACAGAGCATGGGGAGGCTCTGGGACACATAGACACAAAGACACACAGATACACACACACACACACACACACACACACACACACACACACACACACAGGGAGGGGGGCTTTATTCCAGGTAGTCTCACTCCATCTTTATAAGGCATCAACCCTTTAATATAGTTCCTCATATTGTGGTGACCCCAACCCATAAAGTTTTCATTTCTACTTCATAACTGTAATTTTGCTACTGTTATGAATTGTAAATACCTTTGTTTTCCAATGGCCTTTTGGGGGTCACAACTCATAGGTTGAGAACCACTGATCTAGTGGGTTTCTTAGAACAGGCTGCTTGGACCCCTGTGACTTCCTGATAAAACCCAAATCATCGAAACAAGACTGAGCAAGCCCACCAGCAGAGTGGGGTCAGGAGGGGAGGTGATCATGAGTGTTCTGTCCTTAAAGGGTTTGTTTACACGCTGTATCTGAGGTCTTGTGCCAGGGGTTGCCTAGTAATTGTTCAGTGAGTCAGGGGGAACAGTGGGAGATAAGGGCCTGACCAGCAACCCTGGAGCAGGAACTGGCTGTAGATACTTAGAGACATGTCAGGTGATCACAATTGCTGACTGTACTGTAATGTAATAGTGGGCCAGAACAGAGGTCGGCAAGCCTCGTCTGTAAAGGTCAAAGAGTATCAGGTGCTTCAGGCTGTATTATCCGTACCCAACTTTGGCATTGCAGCACAAAAGCAGCAAAAGACAATCCATCAATGAAGGGCTATGACTGTGTACCAATAAAACTTTATTGATGGACACTGGAAATGAAACTTACTATAAATTCACAGATTAAACACTTTTACTATTTAGAGTGGCCATTTAAAATGAAACAAACAAACAAAAACCAAAACAAAACCCTTATAAATACAGGCCTAGAGCTACAGCGTGCCAAATGCTTAACTTAGCCTATGATTTCATTGGGTCACTGAAATTTTATGACAGCATGATTCAAGGTCTCCAAGGGACCAGGATGGTGAGCTTTGGATACCTTACTATACTTTCATTTCCTGTCAAAATCATTTCCCAGGAATCCATTTCCTGTTGCCTCTCATTCTAGTCTTTGGTGGGGGGAATTGGAATACAAACTAAAACTATTAAGATCCTAACTCCAGAAAGATGGATCCCATCTGGGAGGGATGGTGGTGGACTCTCTGACCATCCTTTCATTATCAAGTTTGCAGTCCTCATGTGGCTCCTGACTTACGTTGGCGCGCTCTTCAATGGCCTGACCCTGCTGCTTATGGGTAAGTGCTTCCTATGCCCACACACTGCAGACATGGTACTTCTGTATGAGGCTGTCGGCTTACAGCGCCTTAGTAGCTGGCTGGGAATGAATATCAGATGCCTCACATGAAGAGTATCTAGCTCCCTTTGAACTGTAGTTCAGGTAACTGTGGATTTTTTGTTGTTGCTTTGTTTTGTTCTTCAAGACAGGATTTCTCAGTGTGGCCCTGGTTGTTCTGGCACTCATTATGTACACCAGGCTGGCCTCAAACTCCTGAGTGCTGGGATCAGGCTAATAATGCATTTTTTTTAATGTGTTTCTTCCCCCAGCCACATCACTAAATTGCCTTTTGGTATATATACATTGCGGGTGAATCAATTGTCATCTTGAAAGGGTACATTGCACCTTCATCCTAGGAATAATGATAGAGCTGCAGAGGGCTCTGCCTTCTTTTGTTTTTCCTAAGCAGAGCCCTGTTATCTTTTTATCTATGGTGCTATTTTCCCCCAAAAAAATAATGCTAGTCTCAATACTATGAAAAATGTGTTTATAAGCTTGTTCCTGTTGATAGTTCTCTGAATTCTCATGGCGTATATATGTATTTTTTACCCTAGCTGTGGTTTCGATGTTTACTCTACCTGTGGTGTATGTTAAACACCAGGTGAGTTTTATGGGGGGGGTCAGACATTCATGGGAAATTTTGACCTCATGGTGTCTGGGTGTACTCATGATTTCTTCTTCTTTGTAGGCACAGATTGACCAATATCTGGGACTTGTGAGGACTCACATAAACACTGTCGTGGCAAAGTAAGTTCCATAGTGGAGTTCACTAAAAGGAGTCACGGTCCGAAGCAGGCATAGGAGTGGATTTGTTAGATGTAATTTAGAGGAAACAAAGTAATAGGTTGTTATAGTCTACTCCTTTGAGTGAGACATTCATCCTCATCTCATATTTCAAAAATAAGTATAATTTTCAAGCCCTCAATTAAATAAAACTGTCAGTGATTTATTTCAGGTACCATAATGAATATATTTTAACAACTTAGGTAATATTAAACTATCCCCATGGGCTGACCCATGTTAAAAAACACAATGGAGACAAGAAGGAAGTCTGATTCAGAAAATGTTACATGAACAGTCTCACTGAAACCATGAATACCTTCAGTTTTTTGAATAGTGAATACTAGTAATTTTAAACCAGTAAAATTGCTTTGAAAACCTTAGAGTGCATGAATAATTTGTATATTTTTATATACTTTTTAATACCACAAGTTTGGTTCATACCGCTGCTTTTTTTAGCCTTCTGCCTCTAGCAGACCCAGCTTTACAGAGCTGCCTCTAAGACATTTAGCGATAAAGATTATCAGGCTTATGTGTCCACAGCTAACACATGGTCAGTTGTGTTTTTAGGTTTGTTACCACCTATAGTGATAATTGTGTAATTGTGTGTCATTGATAGTCAGGATTTTTTTTTTTTTTTTTTTTTTTTTTTTTTTGGACTATCGGCTACAGATGTATGCTATGAAAGGAACAGACTTTGTCAACATCAACTCCATTTAGTAATCAAATAGTTATGTGGCTGAATCTAGGTGATGGTTAGTTAGTCTTAGGCATTTCAGATGGTCTTAGACTGTAGGGTAACAAACCGTAAAGAAGCACCCACTTCTACATACTGCCTGCCCTGTATCTCAGGTCAGCAGCACAGTCACTTCTACATACTGCCCTGTGTGCAGCTGCTGTTTTCTCCTGAAGCATGGGATAATTTGACCTCCACTGTGCCATTATACTCTTCCCCTTAAAGTCATACAGAGCTCTGTCCCGTTCCACGCTCAGTTTTGATATGTAAGCACTTCTCAGCACATTTCACAAAGCCTGAAAACATCACCCAGAACCCACATGTAGCCAGCTTAACGAAAATCAACAGATAAGAAAGAACCAGTCATTGCTTTATGTGAAGAAATGACGGAATGGCTTAGCATCGAAAGTGGTAGCACTTCAGCTTAGACTCAGTTCAAAGGCGGAGACTCAGAAACCTATAGCATTAAAATTTCTGGGCTTGATGACCTATAATTTACATGTCAATGAAGTCCCCAGGCAACACTTGGGAAGCTGGAACCATGTTTAAGAACCAGAAATCCGGAATGGGAATTTGGAAACTGGAACTAGAAGTTTTGAGCCGAAATTACACACTATTCATTTAAGGGACCTTGAGGAAATCACATCTATTACTTTTGTTGGTGGCAGTAGGGATGGAGGTCGGGATGAGGGTAGGGGGAGAGGGTGGGGGTGGATACTTGGTTCTAAAGAGAATGTTACTTGTTTTGGATGGTGACACAGAGGCATGAAGATGATTTAGTCCAACTTGACAGGAGTTCCCAGCCTATTGGTACAAATGAAATTATAAAGAAGTAATTATGAGAAAATTTAAGCCCCATGAGAGAACTGTATGAAATTCTAGTGTCAGAACAGTGAGGAAATGTGGTTCCTTCTGAGAGTAGATAATGGAACATCACTAAGGTAGGATGCCATTTGACATGGACCAGGACGTGTGGATTAGCATTTGTCCAGGGGATCAGAGAGAGAAACACACTGTAAGAAGAACTGATCTATGCTCATAGAAATGCTCCGGAAGTGAGTTGACCACTGTGCCTGCAGTGTAAGTGAGTGGCAAGGTTGCCTGGAAAGAAAACAAACAGAAAGGCTGAAGCCGTGGTGTGCACTCTGACCTCAGCTCCACACAAAATGGCCCTTGGTGCTGCCAAGTCGTGGGCTGACGTCATCAGAATTGCCTTGTGTGAAATCACTTTGTGACAGTCTAGTGAGAGAATTGGAGGGGGGGTGACTAAATATGTGGCTGTCAACTCAGAGGCTATCACAGTTCAAACAAACCAATTGGACACTGGAGAACTGGAATAAGGGAAGGGAAATGGCAGGAAATTGAATGTAATATATGTAATATACATATATAGTATAATTGTTAAATTATCGTTGGAAATCAAAGCTATGAAAACAACATGTCACTCATGAGAATGGATAGGGTGTTTTCGTATTTTCATTTTTACTATTTGGCTTCATTTTTTTTTTAACATAAGGACATAAGAAAACTTGACTATGAAATCAGAACAACTGTGGTTAGAGGACACCATAGCGTTTCTCCATTTAGTGACAACTTGCTCAGTGCCTGCATTTCCCTCGAAATTGGACATTTGTTCTCATTCGGAAACTAGGACACCTCATGTTTAATTTCAGAGTTCAGGGAGCTCTAGTCATGGATTTATTTAATAATACCCAGGGATTTTGGACATAAAGTTGCAGGCGTTTATAGCCACCTGGGCTGTAACCACCTGACTGTGACTTTATAAGGGGCTGTAAATGGTAGTGGCAAAGGATTCTTATTAATCTATCACATATCTGCCTGAAATAAAGTAATGTGATACAGGATTCTATCACCTTCAGCCTCATTATTTCTCACGTCTGTGTAGAGACGAATCAAAGATGTCTGCCAAACACGTGAAGTTTGGAGTAAAAGCAAATTTGGAAGAGGGCTAGCTCAAGATTTAAAATGAACCCAGAGATCTTGACTGGGCTTAAATGCTAAACTAGAGTGAGAAAATTAAAACAAGCTAGAGAGTTCAGTGTTCAGATTTTCCCAAAGCCTACATTACAAATAGAGAACAGCGTGTGTGTAGATGAGCTGAAATGAAGGTTGCAGGTGTAGGAATGAGCTTTGGGGATTGACCAAGTATGGCTTAGTGATGTGCTGAGGCATCTTTTTAAAATGAATGCAAGTTTAGATGCTACTGATGCAAGATTGAACCCCACATCTAAAGAGACTGTGGCCACTATTCTCCCCATCACTCCACGTCTGAGTTCAACCGATTTCAGGCCTGGCCTCTGCTCACACGCTGAGACTTGATCCCAGGACCCCACTCATGTAAGTGCCCTACCATTGAGCGCCAGCCCCACTCCTTCGTATTTTTGGTTTTGAGACAAACACTGTCTAAATTGCAGGGGCTGACCTTGAACATGCAACCCTCTGCTTTGCCTCAGCCTCTTGAGTAACCACACCGTCTCATGTGTGGTAAATTGACCATTTTAAAAGATGCACCATCACACTGCAGTAATGCCACAAAGATGAGCAGGGTACCAAGGTATTGACAGTCTGGCAGTAATGACCAGTGGAGACCCAACATCACTCACTACAGATGATGGCCCTTGAAAGGATACGATAACCATCTTCAAGAATCTGGAAGTCTGGTTCTGTGAAGGAATCTGCTTTCTGTCTGTTGCCTGTCTGTCTTTCTTCCTTTTTTCTGGAACAGTGAGTGGAAATTCCAGCTCTTGAATTCATGTAAAACAGGAGGGGAAGTAGCAATAATTAAAGCTGTTTAGCAAGGACATCAGTGTCTTATGGAACAGTGATTTTTCCTCAGAGTCATCTATGTATCCAAGCAGAAATCAGTTGGCCACTATCGTTTGTTTTCCCCAGCTCCTCCTCTTCCCACCCACATCTCATCTGGTCCTATAGCTTCAAAAATGTCTCCAGGTCTAGGGCTCTGTCTTGGTTAGGGTTTCTATTGCTGTGATGAAATACCATGACCAACAAGCAAGTTGGGGAGGAAGGGTTTATTAAGCTTACACTTCAGCAAAGCTGTTCATCACCAGTGGAAGAGGGCGGGATCTAGTGGCAGGAGCTGATGCAGAGGCCATGGAGGGGCGTTGCTTACTGGCTTGCTTCCTCTAGCTTGCTCAGCCTGCTTTCTTATAGAACCCAGGACCATCAGCTCAGGAACAGCACCACCCACGATGGGCTGGGCCCTCCCTCATTGATTACTAATTGAGAAAATGCCTTACAGCTGAATCTCATGGAGACAGTTCCTCAACTGAGGCTGCTGCTTCTCTGATGATTCTAGCTTGTGTCAAATTGACACAAACCAGCCAGTACAGGCTCTATACCGTGTCTTCATCCCAGACACTCACTTCAATCCATCTGCTTATTAGATGTTTCCCTCTTACATGTCCCATAGACATTTAAGATTCACGTGGCCATATTATCATGCTCATCGTTGCTCAGACCATAAACCAGGCAGTCTTCCTTATTCTCCCTCTTCACCCTGCCCATACAGCATCCGGTATACCAACAGATCCTTGCAGCCCCGTCTCCAAATTCAATCTCAGACTGTTCACCTGTCTGCTTCATGTCTACCTTGTGATCCTGGCCATTACCATCCAGCACCTGTATTTCTGTAACTTTCTCTCCCTCCATAATTGCTTCTACTTTCATCTCTCCCGTTGTTTCCCACACAGTAACCATTACGATTCTTTTGAAAATATGAATCAGGTGGCAACAACCCCTGCCTGGTTTGCCTGTGGCTTCCCGTTACCTAGAGTAGAATCTAAACCCTTACCATAGCCCCTAAATTCTAACACCATTACTGCCAGCTTTTCAGACCTGTACCCCTCAACATCTAAGCCCTTTCGGGCCTCTGTATTCGCTGCTGTCTTTGCCTGAAACAGCCAGATCTTGGCCTGTTGGCTCCTGCCTGTTTTGGGCATTTGTTTCTCAGCTCAGTACTTCTAAAGTGGGCTCCACCCACTTCCCCAGAGCTCCCCCTCACTTCCTACCACATTGTCTTGCATTGTTCTATAACATTTGTCACCACCTGAATGAACTTTGTGTCTCCTTGTTTATTTCACTCTCTTTAACACTGATGAGAATGAAATTCCACAAAATTACCTCATCCCTCTGTAGAACACTAAATTCTAGAATGTTGAAGGTTGCCTAGTGCAGAGGCAGATGGCAATTCTAGTCTGTGAACAGAACTCATAAGGCTTCAGATTAATAAATAAAAAACCTTCTAGAGTGATGACATTCTAAAATGATAACATATATACCATGGTTGTGTTACAGGGTCTTAGGAGCCTTGGCAATATCTGGTGACCCACATGTTAAAGATAATTTTCTAGGGAAGTAGCTCCTTTATCAGTAAATTATTTCCTACTCAAGCATAAGAACCTACCTAAAAAAAAATCAGGCGTGGTAGTGAGAATTTATAATTCCAATACTAATGAGACAGAGGAATCCAGGCAGATCATGGGATTCACCGCCCAGCTCAATTTATCAGCAGGGCCTCAGGCCAGTGACAGATCCTGACTCAGCAGACAAGGGAGGGGGGGCTTAACTGAAGAATGCACCCGTGTGTGTGTGTGTGTGTGTGTGTGTGTGTGTGTGTGTGTGAGAGAGAGAGAGAGAGAGAGAGAGAGAGAGAGAGAGAGAGAGAGAGAGGTGAGCATGCGCACGCCTGTATATACACAGACAGGCAGATGGGCAGATGGACATGCACACATAGCTGGCTCTCCGAGCTGTGAAGAAGTTTCACTTGATAAATGAGCAGTAGGACTAGGACCCAGACTTGATTCCACTTCCGGGGATTTTTGTCACACTGTGGGTGGAGATTCCATTGTCAGGAACCGCCTCGGTTTATTCTCATCTCCCTGGTATAGTCATTAGATCCTCCTCTTTCAGAAGTGCCCACGTTTAAGTAACCAGTGGTGAGTTTATCCCAGCTTCCTTCTGTGGAGAGGCTGTGATAGAGTTCATCAGTGGTCACCTACGGAAGTCTTCTGTCTCCACAGAAGACTTGGTCACAACTTCTAGTGAAGAAGTCCACTTGGCCATCCCATCTACTAAAAAGTTGTGCTAAAGAATTGCATCTCTCTTTCCTGGGTATCATCCACCATTTGCATATAAAACCATGTTTTCTAGAATAATCTTGCTATCTGGTCCACAGCTAGTGAAGCCACATGCTGAATACTTAAAATGATTTCGTGGATACCGTTTGCAACATAACCCTTTGGTTTTGCCTTTTTAGGATCCAGGCTAAAATCCCTGGTGCCAAAAGGCACACTGAGTAGATGGAGATCGCCGGAGAAGCTGAATGTAAATGGGAGTGTCTGGAGTGGTAACAGCTCTCTTACTCGTTACTGCAAATTGATTGTTTCCCCTTCCCAGTACCATAATCTTAGAGGCAAACTTCGAAACTGGTGTTTTCAGGCTCTTCCTGTACTCTTAGGATATTTGAGTCCCTTGTGTCAAGCACTAAAGTATAGACAAAAGTGTGTTTAGATGTGTTTTTTAATTTTCTGTTCCTTAAAAAGAAAAGTGCATGATGGTGAGAGCCCACGATCTCCTTCCTTCCTTGATGGTCTCCTCTCTGCGTTGCTTCCGTAGCTCTGCGTTGCTTCCGTAGCTTTACTGTCCCTGTGGCTAGGCCTTTCTTGACAAGTGCGCTGACACAATAGTGGCAATCGCTTATTATGTCCTTGGGTTGCTGGTTGGATTCATCTTTAATAATACTATATAGAATTGTAGGCCAATGTTTTAGCATTTTTTCCAACACACACATTAAAATATATATATATAAAACAGTTGACCGTACATATGGTAATCGGTTTTGTATATGTAAAACGATTACATTGAGAATAAATCCAAAATGAATACACAGTACTTTTATTGTATGGGATGGCTCTGCTGATTTACATGTATGGTAACTACAAGTGCCAGCATGTTCTTTATTACAATTTGTATTACTTTCTCTGTAGTTCCTAATGGACTTAATCATGGACTTGGGATATTTGCACTTATGTACTTGATACTGAATGCATCAATAAATGTTACTAAATGTAGACATTCCTCCCCGTCTTGTGGTGATCTTGCCGGGAAATGCAAAAGCTAGAAAAGGCATAAAGAGGAAGTTTCTTGAGGCGGCGCAGGGAAGGCTGAGGCCAGCTCCCATCCCCAGAACTACAAGGTCCAGCCCCAGCTTGGGTCACACTGTGAGACCCTGCAGTCTGTCAAAGTTCACAGTTCCTGTTCCTGATGGGAGATGTCCTTCTGTGTACATGTGTTTCTTATTGGTTGACGAATGAAACACTGTGACCAATAGAGGCATGAGATAGGTGGGACTAGGATACGAGGAAAATTCTGGGAACTGTAGGCAGTCAGCAGATGCCACACATGACACTGGGAAGGTAGGGTGTGCTGGACCCTTCTCCAGTAAGATAAGACCATGTGGAAATACTTAGATTAATAGAAATGGGTTCGTAATCAAGACAAGCTAGCCAATAAGAAGCCCGAGTCATCAGTCAACAGTTTCATAATTAATATAGCATTTGTGTGTTTATTTGAGGTTGAGGCGGCTGTGGGACCAGGCTGGACAAGAACCTCCCATAACATGTTCCCACCATACTAAGTTTCCAAGTGATTGAACTGTTTCATCTGCACTTTTGGGGGATAGGAGACAGGGTTTCATGTAGCCCAGGCTGGTCTCAATTTATTATATTGCCAGGGATGACCTTGAACACCTGATCTTCTGGCCCCTATCTCCCAAGTGCTCAGACTACAGTTGAGTGGCACCATGTCTGGTTTACGTGGTACTGAGGTGGAACCCAGAGCCCACGCACTAGCGCTAGGCAAGTGCTCTACTGGGTTTCATCATCAGTCCTCCCCCCTCCCCCCCGTACATTCTATTTCCCAGTTAGAAACTGAAGTCAAAGAAGAAGGACCAAGATAGCAGTAATCCAAAAGAGTATCAATGGGAGGAAGCAAGGAGACACTGTGTGTAAAAAGCTGCCTTTAAGTGTTACAATTGGGTCCTGAAAGTATTTAGCAAAGTAGCATAAAACTGACAGAAGCTGCTTGTTATCATGGAGTCAGCCATGACGCAGGCATCTTGGTGCTGTGGGTAGAATGACAGAGTCTATGTGCAAACACTAACCAGACAGAGGATGCTATGCAAGCTCCAGCCCCAAGGACAATGCTCAGGGAAGTAGAGCTGCATAGCTGGGTTCCAAGCTTCATCAGAATAAAGGAAGAGCATACGGGAGGAATCATGATAAGGAAGAACGTGGTATATGCAGAAAATGGTAAGTAGTGAGCCAAGCTGGGTGGAAGGTACTTGTGGGAATGGCGATGTCAAGTCGATTCCTTCACAGAAAGTAATGAAAAACTTGGGGATTTAGGCTTAAGTCTGAGTTATGTGAACACAGAGATGGCATCAGACTCTGGAGATTAGAACAATATAGGAGATCACTGTAACACAATTCTAACACAAGCAGGTACCAATGGAGCTGTGATAGCCAAGGAAAGCAGGCACTCAACATTCCCCTGTGTCCTGACTGACATGTCAATCACCCAGTGTGAAGGGGTACAATGCAGAGGGTGATTTGACTGAAGTTGGTGATTGACTTGATATAGACTTTCAAGACCCAATTTAACCTTGAGAGTGGCTGCCTGGTTAAACTTCACACTCTAGGAAATTCACTGGCCTCACTCTAACCCAGAACTTTCTATGACCAGCTGAGCAAGAGAATAAATACACCACTTTCCAGGTGGAGAGCCCAGAACTGGCTTGGGGAGGGAAGATAAGCTTAAATTGGTGCCTGGGTATTTTTTTAATGTTTAATGATACAGAAGAGGAGGATTTCTTGGGGTAAGTTTGCATAGCTTAGTCACAGAACATGTGTTTACCTGTGTGAGGACCTGGCTTCAGTCTCCAACACCCAACAGAAAAACAAAAAATACAATCATAAATGAAAGGATTTAGTCTTTCTATAGGTTTCCTGTAGTTCATGCCAATTTCTCTATGTTGCTTCACTGGCAGTAGGACTTAAGTTGTGTATGTTTTTACATTTTCCTTCTCCTAGAGCATACTTGATATTTGCTATTATTGTATATAGTTTTATATCAAGGCTAAATCTTCTTCTTTAGACTAAAATGGGAATTGTAGTGAGATGTTCACACATATTCCATCTGTAGCACTGACCACCCATGGGTGAGGTCACAGGTGTGGATATGGCCTACCGTTGATAAGAATTAGATCTGGGGGGAGGGGGGTTTGCTCTTGCTTGCTGGTCGGGTCGTGGAGAGCCTTCCGGGTGACAAGGTCACGAGTGGGAACCCGTGGTGATCATCTGCTTCTTGTGTAAGTGCATTCTCCCCAAATAAACTTCACTTTGCCTGTACAGAGTCTAGTGAATCTTGATTCTCACATCTATAGTTTCCAATCTCAAGCCTTTGAGAACATGGTTTTTCATAGGTTTTTTTTTTTTTTTTTTTATTGTGCAGAACTGGCCATCAGTATCACCTGTCATGGTATTTCATTTCTCCAGTTGATCTAGAATTCCTTTCCCACCTTAGGAGGGGATCTAACTAGGAATCCCATTTGGTGTCAGGAGTGAAGAAGATGCTGAGGGAAAGGTCAGGCTCACAGAAATGACAGCCATGGACATAATATTAGATAGGGCTTTGGGCATATCAAATGCTGTCATATACAGGAAACATTAGTCAAGGTGATACTGGAGTGGTGATACTGGAAATAGTGTGGAGACCCAGCAGTCAGGTAAGAAGCAGACAGAAATGAGAGCATCCAGAGTGAATGAGACAGTTCTCCATTCTGGCTGTGAACCTTAGAAAACCTTGACCTCTGGAGGAAGTAAGTGGGTGGGTGCGGTATGCTTCATGATCATCCCAACATTAAAGGTGGTGGGATATGACACATCTTTTGCTCTTCCCATTTTCAAATTTAAATGGGGGAGGAACCATTCAATGACACCTACATCCTGCCCGTGAGCTACAATTCAACTGAGAAACACATCGTTATTCACTCGACCGTTTTTATTGCCAATGATTTTCTTTGAGCACAGGTAGAGTAAAGCTTGCTATGATCTCTACCCATCCACCATCAAACGCAGCCCTCACACAGGAGGTTAATGACAAAGCCCAGCAATCATGAGAGATCTTTTGGGACACTAGACTCAAAAGATTACTTAGAAAATTAAAGTTTAAATGGTTCAAATGAATTTGGTGATGTTTCCTTCCCTCCTTTCCCAGGTATACCCTTGTCAGAGCTTCTGGCTTATCGTTCTCTTGTTTTTGAAACACATCAAACACGGAGCCTCAGCATGCAAATTCCCCTAAGGACAAATTACCACTTCACATGAAGCCTCTAGAGTGAAGCCACTGGGGGTAGCCATTTTCTCATGTGGCACGCATCAAAGGCCCCAGAAACTCGGCAGTGTACACTTTGTCCCATGCCTACGCCCAAGTGCCCTAAGTTACTGGAGAATTTGCCAGAAGGTAATATTCCTCAAGACAAATTTATCTTGTCTTCCATTTTGTTCTTCATAATATAGTTTGTGCTTTTCTTGTTTCTCTGGGCAGGAAAGAACAGCCATTGTGTATAATGGCTTGGAGAATGTCCCTAACAGAATATGCAGCTCCCCAAGTATGTCATTGCATAAATTATGGTATATGCACATTATGGTAGGCTATCTAAGCTATCCCATCTGACTTCCCAATTTAAGCAGGACCTTTGCCTATCACTGAGAAGAAAGTCCTGGAACAATCGTTGCCTCCTGGCCTTTCTTACAGTTTTTCTTAATCAAATGTCTCTACCTTTTTTCTGTTTCTCTCTCTCTCTCTCTTCCTCTCTCTCTCTCTCTCTCTCTCTCTCTCTCTCTCCCTCTCTCTCTCTCTCAGGACATGTTTTTAAATTTTATTCTTTAATCTCTAAGTTGGGTTCTACAGAGAACATCTAAATCATTACCCAGATGTATGTCTCATTTATTAGTCAGGAAGGCTATTTTGAAACTACTGAGATGAAAAGTCTTAGGACTAATACAGTGTCTTCCAGCTAGCCACTGGGTAGAATGGACTTCTTATAAACATCTCTAACTAAAATATCAAAATCCTGCAAGGTGAAAGGGCCTATTTACGTTCCTGATATTGAGGAAACTGGATCTCAGTGTTCACACAGCTGGTCAAAGCTGAAGCAAGGACCCCTTGGAGGATGTCTGTCTTTCTGATTTGTAAGGTGGGCTCTGTGCGTGAAGCCTTTCCTCCCCTCCCCCGCAGTACAGATGAGGAGCCATGTTTTCTGAGCAAGACTCTTTGACTGCTGCAGGAGAAACCCGCTGACATATGAGCATTCAGTGAGCGTTTATTGGGAGAGCATAAGAGATCTAAGGGTTTAACTGCAGGGTTTTTTCTCAAGCAGTTTCTCCCTTTGGACCTTCTCAGCTAAAGAGAGTTGGATGCGGGTGTTACATAACAATCCTGC